GAGAGGACTGCCAGCCTAGCTGGGTCAGGAACTTGCTCAACCACAATGGAGAGGCAGGGAAGGAGAGAGACAGGCCTTTGGAAAACCTAGTCCTATCTTCCCCTTGAACATCAGTATCTAGTATTTAGTGATTCAGTAGGCCTGGAGTAGAGCTCAGGAATCTGAATTTTTTTATACTTTTTTTGAAGTTTATTTATTTTTGAGAAAGACAGAGCGTGAGCGGGGGAGGAGCAGAAAGAGAGGGTGACTCAGAATCTGAAGCAGGCTCCAGGCTCTGAGCTGTCAGCACAGAGCCCAGTGTGGGGCTTGAACTCACAAACCGCGAGATCATGACCTAAGCTGAAGTCGGCGCTTAACTGACTGAGCCTCCCAAGCACCCCAGGAATCTGAATTTTTAACAAGTTTCTCCATGCAGGTGATCCACTGATCCTTTGACTTGAAATGAGACAGCATAGTGTTTAAGAGCTATCTGAGTTTGAACCCTGGCTCCATTACCAGATTCATGACCTTGGACAAATTATATAAACTTTTTTTTTTTTTTTTGGAGAGAGAGAGAGAGAGAGAGAGAGCACTAACAGGGAAGGGTTAGAGGTAGAGAGAAAGAGAGAGAGAGAGAGAGAGTGAGAGAGAGAATCTTAAGCAGATTCCACACTGAGCCTGACACAGGGCTTGATCTCACAATCGTGAGATCATGACCTAAGCCAAAATCAAGAGTCGGACACTTAACTGACTGAGCCACTCAGGCACCCCTAGTTTTCTAATCTTTAAAATAAAGATGCTTGTAGGGTGGCTCAATCGGTTGAGTGTCCAACTGTGGCTCAGGTCATGATCTCACAGTTCATGGGTTCGAGCCCCACTTTGGGCTCTGTGCGGACAGTTCGGAGCCTGGAGCCCACTTCAGATCCTGTGTCTCCCTCTTTCTGCCCCTCCCCCGCTCACGTTTTCTCTCTCTCTCTCTCTCTCTCTCTCTCTCCCCACCCCCGCTCTCTCTCTTTCAAAAACAAATAAACATTTAAAAAAAATTTTAATAAGGATGCTTATAATAGTAGCTTTCTCCAGAGGAAGCTGCAAAGATTCAGTGACATGATTTACATAAAGCACATAGCACATACAGGGCACATGTTAATTTCTCAACAAGTATCAACCACTATTATTTGTTCCAACTCTTCATTCCCATCCCCACCCCCACTCCCACTGAAGGAGAAAATAAAGGTATTAGATTCACATAGGGACTTGTCATCACAGTATTGTTTTGCATGTGGCTGATCCAAAACTATTCTCCCCCAGAAGAGTATCCCCGTCACTCTTCTGATGCCCTTGCTGTGGACCGAGCTTCTTCCAATAAACTACCCTCCCTTTCCCATTTTCCTTTCTTCCTCAGTGTCCCTCTACATAGCAGGCCACCCTCCTCCACCCCATCAAAGCGATTTGGCTCAGGATGTGTCCTGGAAAGTAAAAACATACGGCAGGTAAGTTGTGGAGCTGTGTAGGCCCCTGGATTCCTGAAGAAGATCAGAGAATCTGGTGCTCTGGGGCTTAGGAGTAAGCTTTGGAGGCAGAAGGGAACTGAAATTCCTGCTTACCCAGGCTCTAACTATGGAAACATGCTGTCTTTCTGGGAAGTGGAGACATCCTGTCCCAAGATATGGTTGAAGCCCAGAATAAGTGGGCAAACAAGGCTCTGTTGTGCATAAATTCTTGCAGGCACTTTCAAGTCTGGATGGCATCTCCAAGTGACCACAAACAGGCAGACTGGGGACAAGTGAGGATGGGATGAAATAATCTAGCCAAGAATACAAGAGGAAAGTGGAGGAAGTCAACGTTCAAACAAAGCAGTGGTGCTAGTTTTTCAAGGTCCAGGGACGATGGCTAGCCTGAGATGCAGAGAAAAGCCAGAGGGCCAGCTCTCTGAGTGGCTGAATCCTCCCAGTCACTCAGCCCTCCAGGGAAGCATTGCTTCCTGCCCTCCCCTCCCTTCCCAGTGCAGCTGAAATGGAGACCCTCTGAGATGTACTGGAGGGAGGGAGGGAGAAATTCTGCCTGGAGAAAGAACTGGAAAACCTGGGATAGACTCCAGCTTGGCCCAGAATGTCCTTACCAACTGGTGTTCCTCAGAGCTTGCTGCTCCAAAACAGAGTAGTATCTGGCCTTTCAAAATCCACTCATTGATGGGAAGAAAGTGGAATCCCCATCCACTGTTGGTGGGAATGCAAATTGGTGCAGCCACGCAGGCAAACAGTATGGAGGTTCCTCAAAAAGTTGAAAATAGGGGCACCTGGCTGGCTCAGTCAGTAGAGCATGAGACTCTTGATCTCGGGACTGTGAGTTTGAGCCCCACATTGGGTGTAGAGATTACTTAAAAATAAAATATTTTGGGGGTGCCTAGGTGGGTCAGTTGGTTAAGTGGCCGACTTAGGCTCAGGTCATGATCTCATGGTTTGTGGGTTCGAGCCCCGTGTCGGGCTCTGTGCTGACAGCTCAGAGCCTGGGGCCTGCTTTGGATTCTATGTCTCCCTCTCTCTCTGCCCCTCCCCTGCTCATGTGCTCTCTCTCTCTCAAAAATAAACATTTAAAATGTTTTTAAGTAATATCTTTTTAAAAAATACTTTTAAAAAGTTAAAAATAGAACTACTCTATGATCCAGCAATCACACTCCTAGGTATTTACCCAAAGAATACAAAAATACAATTCAAAGGGATACATGCACCCCGATGTTTATAGAAGTATTATCCACAATAGCCAAATTATGGAAACAGCCCAGTGTCCGTTAATTGATAAACAACCACCTCTTCTTTAGAGGTGGTTATATGCAATGGAATATTACTCAGCCATAAAGAAGAATGAAGTCTTGCCATTTGCAATGACATGGATGGAGCTAGAGAGTACTGAGTGAAATAAGTCAGAAAAAGACAAATACCGTATGAGTTCACTCATATGTGGAATTTAAGAGACAAAATGAATGAGCAAAGGGGAAAAGAGAGAGAGAGGCAAACCAAGAAGTAGACTTTTAACTATAGAGAACAAACTGATGGTTCCCAGAGAGGAGGTAGGTGGGAGGATGGGTGAAATAGGTGAGACAATTAAGGAGTGCACTTGTGATGAGCACTGGGTATTGTATGTGTTAAACCACTAAATTGTACACCTGAAACTAATATTACACTGTATGTTAACTAGCTGGAATTTAAATAAAAACTGAAAAATAATCCACCTATTGGTCAAGGGCACTATATACCACATCATACCTGCAACCTTCAGACAACACACACACATACACACACACTCTGGGGTTACCGGATAAAGTAGGGGCCACCAAGTTAAACTTGAATTTCAGATCCTGGTGAATGTTTTAGTATAAGATGTCCCAAACACTGCACTGGCACATACTTATCCTAAAAAAGATTACTTGTCGTTAATCCGATACTCAAATTTAACAGGACATCCTGTATTTTTATTTGCTAAATCTAGCAACCCTATCCTATTCGCCTTCAGAATCTCCATCCTGTAAGCTCACCACGAGACTCTGCTTAAACCTGTAGGCTGTGTCACAGTTGTCCTGATCTGAGAGCCTTCCTTCCAGGCTGCCCCGCTAGACTGAAAACTCTCTGAGGGGAAGGCCCAGGCCTTGACCACCACCTCTGGGCCTCTGTTACAGGCAAGGACGCTCCTTGTGAATGTACACAACGGCATTAGTGGAGAAGGGGCACCTACAGGATAAAACATACGTTATAACTCTATGCCCGAATCGAGGCCCTGGCGGAGGGTTGGCAAAGGCCGCCTTTTATTGACTGGCCTGCGCAAAGGTGCGCCTGTTTCTAATTGGCTCGCCTGAGAGGACTGCCCCCTTTTCATTGGTTGGGTGGGGAAGTGGGCGTGGCCTGTTCCAATTTTTTAGCTCACGGAACTTCTCTAAGTCCACTGAAAGAGGTGCCTTTTTAAAATTTTAAAACTCTGATGGAGAGTGCCACCTTTTTTTGAAGTAACACAAAAACCTTCTGTGTACTACTAAGGCTTTAAGTCTTAGGATAAGAAGTCATTACATTTGCTTAGCGCTTTAGACATTCCAAATTACACATATCAACTCCTGGAATCGCCACAACAGTCCCCTTGGTGGTGGGTAACATTGGGCCATTTGCATTTCACAGATCAGCAAATTGAGACTAGAAGAGCAGCAACCTGCTCGCTGTTACTCAGGCAGATAATAAAGACAGTTTATTTGTGTTTAGTGCGAGTTTAGCGAAGGCTCTCCACAAATCGCTTCGCTCCACCTTCAATACAGACTATGTGAAATATAAAGCGCAAAGCACTTTACTCTTGTTTTTTAAAATCTTCATGCGACTCTGGGAACTAAACATCACTTTGCTCTCATTTTATTGATGAGGAAACTGGCACTCGAAAGTAGTTAAATCCTTTGCCAAAAGTCACAAAGCTGCACTCTGCTATTTATTTATCGGGTACTGCACGATGTCAGGCAGTGCTCAGTTACTTACAGATCTTATTCGCTCATTAAATGCTCCCTACAACCACATGACATTGGTATTCTCATTATCGCCATTTACTGATGAGAAAAATATGTTCAGAGAGGGTGAGTGACTTGCCCATGACCACGCAGACAGCAAGTTAGGTAAGGCAGGATTCACACGACTAGCAAAGAATCAGATCTGGAACTCAAACCCAATTATTCTGATCCCAGCCCAGGGCTCCTTCTCTCCTAGCCCAGAATCTCGCTCCCTGCCAGCCTGACTGAAATAATCAGTGACCCTCTGGTAGGCCAGGACACCACCGCCCCGCCCCCGCTTGATCGAAGTCTTAGGGTAGCTACAGTCTCCAGAAGACCCCTCTTCCCCCGCCCTCCCCGGAGAGTTCGGATCAACTGGAGGTGGCTGGAGAGAGAACGGGTGGGCAGGGCGGCGGCGGGCACCAGGCCAGGCTCTGCAGCCGGAGGAAGAGGCTCCGGGACAGCGGCGCGTTCCAGCGGCGGAGCGGAGTGGGTGGGGCCGGAGTGCCCGGCCCCCGCCCCTCCTCCCTCCCTTCCTCCCTTGCCTTCCAGGTCCCCCGCCGGCGACCCGCCGGCAGGCACTGCCTGGTCTGCACCACTTGGGGCCGGATCCCCGCGAAGCGGCCAGAGGGGCGGCCCGGCGCACCGAGCCGGGGCCCCGGCGCGCCCCTAGGCCCTCCCTCCTCCGCGTGGGGGCGGCGCAGAGCTGGAGCATCCGCGGGGTCCCGGGCACCACTGACCGCCTCGGGCAGCCGCGCGCTCAGCGGCTCCCCACTTGCCCGCGCCCCGTGGCGGGGGCGGCGGCGAGATGGCGGCGCGTGTCGGCCTCCTGCTGCGCGCCCTGCCGCTGCTGCTGTGGGGCGGCCTGGACGCCCAGCTCGCCGAGCGCGGAGGCCAGGAGCTGCGCAGGGAAGCGGAGGTAAAGGATGTGTGCAGGGCGGAAAGGGAGCCGCGGGCTAGAGACCCCCCAGAACTTTGCAGTCAGGTCACCCAGCCGTCCCATCTGAGCCGGCAATCTGCACTACCCTCCCGGTGTCCGCGCTCTACACACTTGCACACAAAGAGTCTGGGGAACATTCTCCCCCGTGCCACGGCTGGGACCACCCAGGCACGCGGATCTGCATTGATTTTCCCGGACGGGGGAAGGAGGGAGCGACAAGATGGGACAGGCGGGCAACAACAGAGAGAGAAGTGGCCTCTGCACCCTAGTTTGACACGGACCTACTGCCCCTCACCGCCTAGGCTGGGGAGACTTGGCCATTCATTCATCCGATGCCCCGAGCCTTCCCAGAGGCTGCAAAGCCCCCCAGATTGGTGAGGTGGAGAGAGTACCGCTGACTGGCCAGGGACACAGGAGACAACACTGGCTTCCTGGGCTGGTGCTGCCAGTGAGCCAGCGGCTTGTCAGCGCCCAAGCTCGGGACTAGTTTCATAACCTGTAAAATGGGTAAGAATATTATATATAGTCTCAAGGATTGCTTCTAAGGAGCTTTGGAACAGTGCTTCAGGACCGAATTTGACAAAGGGGGCAGAGAGTTGGAGGTGAACCTTAAACACTTCCCATTTCACTTTCCTCCTTTTGGAATTCAGCTGCTTGCTGTAGATTGCACAAGGGGAACTTTTTGAAGGCAGGGGTGGGGCTCCACTTGGGGTATCTATTTTCCAGATAAAGGTGATTGTAATAACACATCAGTATCCATCTCTGTCTGTATTCGCAAGATTAGAACTGGGGTCTCCACTATTTTAAGAAGTTCTAATTTTTATTTATTT